GGGGTCAAGGGGGGTCAAGGGGGGGGGCGCAGAGAGCCAGAATTTGTTTGGAGCCATGCGTGTAGAGTAATCAGCAGCTGTGCTATACATATGTTTGTGCTGAGGGTTTGAGGGACGCCCTGGCAAGCGCCGCATGCACGATGTGCGGCACATGCACACCGACCCCCACCATTCAGGTGGCTTGTCCCATATTCCCCTCACTTCAGTCCCTTTCCTTTCACACTTGACCCCTGTTTACCACCCCACCCAACATGTTCCCCTCAGGCCACGGCTGCTGCGGTGGAGGCCGAGCCGGCTGATGAGGCAGCCGAGGACATGGCGCCGGAAGGGGAGGGCGGCGAGACGGCGGGGGTGATGAGTCGCAGTCAGATCCTGCTGCGCGCGGGCGCCATGCTCAGTGCGGGTGTGGCCCTGTGTGCGGTCTTCAGTGACCCCCTGGTGGAGAGCCTCACAAACCTGTCCAGGTCGGGCGGCCAGAGGGGCCGGCCTCGGGGACTGGCCTCAAAGCGGGGTATCAGGGCACGCCCACCACGGACAGCCTGGGGGGGGGGGGGGCGGGCAGCCGTGGCACGCCCGGTGCCAGTGAGTGGATCATCTCGTCGCGACATTGCCGGCGCGCCCCCACCCCCCGCCAGGGCTTCTGGTGTGCCGGCATTTGCAGTGGGTTTTGTGCTGACCCCTCTGGCCAGCAACTCATCAGAGTTTGTGTCGTCGCTGAAGTTTGCCGCCCGCAAGCGCATCAGCAACATGAGCCTCACTCTCAGCCAGGGTGAGGTCAACCGCGCCCCACGGGGCGGCTGCCTGCTGCGCATGCATGCTGCTGGCGAGGCTGTCTGTGTGATCGTTGGGTGCTTCCACTGGGTGCCCGTCACCGTGCTGCCATCAAAATCATAGTTGTGACCCTACTTTTGGCTGCAATTCAAGTTGCCTGCCGCTTGCGCCTCACCTGTTGCCACCAGTGTACGGCGCCGTGACCCTCAACAACACTCTCGTGTTGGGGCTCTTCCTGCTGGTGAGGGCAGGCACAGGAGGCGGCAGCCCTCGTGAGCTGGGGCTGTTTGCGCAGTGAACCAAGGTGCAAAAGCACTCATCACGCCCGTGTATGATGCTGACTCTTGACTCTTTCTCTGCTGCACTCTGCCGCAGGTGGTTTATGTCAGGAAGCTGCCATGGGTAAGCATGGAGGTGTTGAGTGCAAACTGACGCTGCTCAACGCTCCTGACGCCACGGTCCACCAGGACTGACATGACAACGCGAAACGTTTTGCCTGCCGCCACCCACTGTCGGCAGGTGTATTCGTCCGAGGTCACCGTTATTGTCGCGGCCTCACTGCTCATGGGCGCACTCGGCTGGTCGAGGTCGACCTTCACGGTGCGCCCGCTTGACCAGCCGCTCGTTCACCCCCACTCCCCTTGGAGCCTGTAGCCAACAGCCAGCTTTGCATGCCCAACACGTCACCAAGGCATGCCCACCATCTCTCTCGCTCATCGCCATCACCACCAACCAACAGACCAAATGGGCACTGCCAGCAATTGCGCTCTACCCACTCTCGCTGCTCACTGTGCACATACTGGACACCAAGCTGGGGTGGCAGTGACGTGGCTAGTGTTATGACAGTGTTTGCACTAATGCGCGGTGTGGATGTCGGCTCTGCATAGGTTGTGCGCACACATCAAACATGGCCGAGGCCTTTGGCGCCTTCCACCCGCATTTCTAATGCTCACAAGCCGTGTCATTGGTTTTTCTGGCAGCATCAGTGCAAGTGCAGTGCCAAGGACTTGAGAAGGCACGTGTATTATGCAAGTCATGTTTCCAAGAGCCCGATGGTTGGGTGCTGTTCTGTGCGGGGTGGTTTCATCGTGTGATTCAAAGGCGAAAAGCTTGGGACATGTGCCGTGCCACTGCACGGTTCAAGAGCAGCAATGAATCAGTGTGTTTTGTCCCTTGCGGCCACACAACGATTACGCGCGTGGGGGCGTGCGAGTGTGGGTTCCAGCTGTAGCGGAAGCTGTGCCCAGCGAGGGGTCGCGGCATAAGCTGTGGGGGGTCGCAACATATCGGCCAGGAGAGCTGAGATGAATCAGCAGAAAACCTGAAATGTGATCGTGTGCATCTGTTCGATCAGCCGTGTTCCTTCGGAGAATCCAAAAGAAGGGGGAACCCCACAAGGCCCGCATAGAGTAACCACCCCCGCCACAGCAGCGGTTGCGAACAGCTGTATCCTTGGGGTGCCTAAACGGCCTAGTTTTCTAGCCATCAGCAGCACATAGACCATACATCACCAAATTTGGATCCACTCAAATTATCATACTCTGGGCAGGGAGACTGCGCGGGGTAATGCAGTGATTGGGCTGGAGAGGCTGGAGTGCTGGGCGTTTGTGCTGCTGCCACTGCCTCTGCCTCTGCTGCCGTACCCCCCTTGCAGGATCGAGGCGCGATCCCATCGCTTCAATTCAATTTCCTTCTACATAATTTCTCGTTGTTTTGTCTTACAACCAACGCTGCTGCTTATCAGACCGTTGTGAATGGCTGATTGACCCACGGTGTGTGTGTGCACCTCGATCCAACAACTTGCTCGTCGGCGAAGTTCACAAGGCATTTATTAGACGCAGCCTCGCTTGCGGGGGCTGCGTTTGCCGTTGCAGAGCAGAACGAAGGGGTGAGTAGCAACCAGCCTGCTCCGCTCTCACGCAGAAAGGCGAGCTGCATATGAGCAATTCTGGATGCATTTCACAATCACGAGTGCACGCACGTGGCCCGAGGCCACTGTGCGTACTGTTGAGGCTCTGCTGTTGCTGCTGCTGCTGCTACTGTGACTCCTCACACCTGGCGCCACTGCCGCGCCGCAGCTGAAGGTCGAGCCGGCGGGCGGATGGCGTGCCCGCCAAGCCCTATTGCTGTCCCGGACGCCCAGCAGCACAACCCGGTTGCGCTGCTGCCGGACGCATGGCCTTTTTCGCCGATCGCCAGCCGTGCAGATCAGGCCCCAGCCGGCACGGCCAGCAGCAGCACGAGCAGTGCCGGCCGGGGGATGGGCGAAAGCAACAGCACCAGCAGTGATGATGACAAGTCACGCTGCGCTAACGACTGCTACTCTGCCGCCTGTGGGCCTGCCAGCAGTGACAAGGGGCCCTGGCTCAACGTGCGCGCCCCTGAGTGGGTGCCGCACGGCGCTGAAAGCTTGCCAGCGACGGCAGCACGCCCGCGGCAGCAGGCGCCCGTGGCAATGGCGCCGCATGCGTCGCAGGACCAGCTGAAGCTGCAGTCCCGCAGCGGCCAGCCTCAGCAGGGTGTGCGCGCGCTGCAGCTTCGCGGCCGACCACAGCAACAGCAGCAGCAGCAGCAGGAGCAGCAGCAGCAGCAGCAGCGGTCACAGCAGGCGCCGGTGCATGCTTCGCAGCAACAGGAGCAACGGCCGCAGGGCAGCGACGAGCGCTTTGGTGGGCCCATGAAGCAGCAGCAGGACAACGCAGCTCGCCGCCAGGTCGACCTGCAGCGGGCGTTGGAGCAGGCGCGGGAGGGCCTGGCGGGGCTGCTGGGCCAGCGCGCCCTGCTGATGCGCGCCGTCAGGCGCTGCACCGATTGGCAGGCGCAGGCGGAGGAGCAGAGCTGCGGCGAGCACGCCATCAGCAGCGATGCCGCCGGCGGCGCCATGGCTCCCGAACCTGCCCAGAGCGAGCACGAGGCGGCGCTGCGGCCGCAGGAGGTGGTTGAGCTGGCGCGCCTCCTGGAGGAGGGGGCCGCTGCCGGCGAGGGTAAGGGCGCCGCAGCAACTCCCTCTGCTGGCTGGCTGGCTGCGCTGGCAGAGCTGGTGTCCCAACACGCAGCCGAGGCGCAGGCCGAGTTCCAGCAGCTGGCGCAGTCCTACCTCATTCTGACGCAGCAGCTGGGGATCCCGCCCTGCGCCGTGCCAGAGGCGGCGTGGCGTGCGGCAGCACCGGGGCATGTGCCTCCGGCCGCGCCGGCGCCCACATCAGCCGGCATGTCCATCCCCTCTGATTTGGAGCAGGTGGGCTGCCGAGGGAGCGAGGGCTGGCGCTGCTGCACACCAGCCCGTCCGCGCCGCAACCTCCCCGCACTCTTTCGTCATCCGCATACGACCTACACATGGCCCAGAGTTGAACGCTCACACGCAAAGGCATAACGCCAGCTCATTACGGGCAGGAAAGGCAAAGGGATGTGGCGGGCCCAGCGTGTAGAAGAAGTGAGAGCCCACCGCCAACAACACCATCCCTGCGGCCACCCCGCCAGGTGCGCGCCATGTGCGCCGACCTGATGCGTCGCGAGGCCGAGTACGCGCGTGAGGTGCGCATGCTCAACGAGCGCAACCGCCAGAACTGGCAGGAGGCCTGCGCGTGGCAGGCCGAGGCGCGCCGGCTGGGTGGCCTGGTGCAGGGCCTGCAGTCTGCCCTGGCCGCGGGCCAGGACCCGGCCGCGGCGCACAGGGCCAAGAAGGACGCGCCGCACAGGCAGGCGGG